TAGAGATCTTAGGTTTACTTCTGATTTTTGGAAGAGTTTGCAAGAAGCGTTGGATTCTAAGATGAGGTTGAGTTCGGTGTATCATCCTCAGACAGGTGGTCATACTGAATGGACTATTCAATCGTTGGAAGATTTGTGGATGGCATGTGTTCTTGAGCAGGGAGGTTCGTGGGATACTCACCTTCCGTTGATAGAGTTCACTTATAATAACATTTACCATTCTAGTATTGGGATGGCACCTTTTGAAGCGTTATATGGTCGAAGATGTAGAACTCCTTTATGTTGGCATGAATCTGGAGAAAGTGTAGTAGTTGGACCTGAACTTGTTCGTGAGACTACTGAGAAGGTGAAGTTGATTCGAGAAAATATGAAAGCTTTCCAAAGTAGACAGGAGAGTTATCATGACAAGCGAATGAAAGATTTAGAATTTCAAGCGGGTGACCATGTGTTTTTGAGAGTTACACTTGTGACTGGTGTTAGGCGAGCATTGAAGTCTAAGAAGCTCACTTCTCGTTTTATTGGTCCATATCAGATTTCAGAGAGAGTGGGAAATGTTGCTTATAGAGTGGCTTTACCGCCTAATTTTTCGAATTTGCATGATGTGTTTCATGTGTCACAACTCCGAAAGTATATTTCAGATCCATCTCATGTGATTCATATAGATGATGTGCAAGTACGGGATAACCTTACTGTGGAGATGATGCATGTACGGATCGCGGATCGTGAAATAAAGACTCTGAGGGGCAAAGAGATTGCTTTGGTTAAAGTGGTTTGGCTAGAAGCTGCCGGAGAAAGCATGACTTGGGAGTTGGAAAGTAAGATGCGGGACTCATATCCTGAGTTGGAAAGCATGACCATGTTGATTTCAATGATCATAACAATAAATTTCCCATTAGTCAGGTTGACCTGTGAATTAGGGGCAGCATTAGGTTCAAGCCTACTTCTACATTTTTTAGTCATATGACTTGATTTTCCATAGTTAAAACCAAGGGAAACCAACGTAATTTCTTTGAGGTGGTGGTCGTTGCCTAGTTGGAGCAATTGGGGTCATAGAATGGTTCATATTCTTAATTTGGTTCACAATATTGCGGTTCTGATTCTTCAATCATTTTCCAAATGGCTTCAAAACTACACCGAATTTCTTTTTGTTGTTTGAAACAACCAAGACCCTTTCTTTTGATATTTGTCTCTAAGATATTTATTATTTTTTTAACTCAAGGCGAATAATTAGATTCTCAATCAAGAATTCTTTTGTTTTGTGGCGAAGCGGGATTTTTTTAAAAACATTCAAACTATAAGTAGTTTGTCAATAAAAGTAATTTAAAATTGTTCATCTAAACACATACCTTTTGTGATGATCTTGTAAGCAATATTTTGAAGTTCGTAACATTGAGTCTCCATCGACCTTTCATCTTTGTCATTTGATACTTGAAGTAGCGACTAACAATTTACTTTTTGCTACTGCTTCAACGCCATACTTGTTTTTCAGAGCCTCATAAATATGTTTTAAAGTATCGCAGTTGCTGTAATAATCATACAGATCATTTGCGAGTCCATTCAGAATGTTATAGGCATTCTCTTTCTATAAGGAGATTTCTTCCTTTAGTTGTAAATCATTCGCATTAATCTATGTTATAAATTCATATTCATTGAAATTAACAATTCAATCTGAGTTCATAGATTTTTTTCTATTTGTTTGTTCGACTGATCCAAATGGGACAGTAGGAGTGTCATCGGTCACAATATTGACAATCTTCTTTATGGTTAAGAAAAACCTCACTTTTGTTGTCAACGTTTTAAATTCACTCCTTCAAACTTGAGCGGTTTGTCCGAGACAATCTTGGAAGTACCGATAATTTCTTCAGTAGCCATGGCAGGTTGAAGCGTCTTAAAATTGTTGTTTTCAGATTTTGAAATATTTGTCACCGAAGAAATTATTGAGTTGAGTCACAAACTAAATCGCTCTCTTTAAGACGTTTTGCGGCACTACTCAAAATTATGCAAAACAATCGAACTACTGTGTCGCCTCCAGATAAAACAGCTTAGTTCTATATTGTATGGTTACTACTTTCACGGTAGATAATCGGTCTAGAAATACACCCTCTAATGATATAAGACCATTCAAATATGATATCAATACCACTCGTAGTATCTGGTACAAAGACCGGTCGTAATAATTTCTCAATCAAAGAGAAACTCAAATAATTTTCCAAAGAGAATTTAATAATAGTCAATTGACCGCTCATAATAATTTCTCCAACAAAGAGAAATTCAAATAATTCTCCAATGAGAATCCAAAAATTAGTACTTGAAAATTTCTCAACTCAAATTAGGAAAAATTAACATAAATGGGAAGAAGTTGGCGTTTCGACAATTCAAGAAACGTAAGTTATGAAAGTGAGGAACGAAAAACTAATAGAATTTTTTTTGTGTAATGTAAAATAAAACATGCACACTCTTTATATAATAAAATAAACTAGTTAATATTTCTCGCATAAACAATCTGAGACTAAATGATTTTTTCAACCACAAACATTATTGTAACAAGTGAGACTTAAAAAGAATTTAAAATTAACAAAGACATGTTACAACATAGAGCATTGATCATTAATTCCTTAAAGAGTGAGAGAGGAGAGACTTGGATCCCAAACTTGTATGCCCTGTTAGACGAAGAGAATATAGAGATAGAAAACTACATTCGTATGGGGTGAAGAGAATCGTTTTAAAAGAGAACATCAAGGATAGATGGAGATGGTCCAAGGATGATTACTCGGTCAAAGTTATCGTAACAGGAAGCTCTTCCTCCAACATTCAATAACTTATTACTAATTTCAACACTTCCTTCACACTCAAACAGTTTGGGGACTTCAAGAATTGTAGTTTCTAGTATTTTGGCAATGGCATGAATTACAACCATATTGCCAAATCTTAAACTCTGCAGGAAAACTCACCAAGTGTTTAGACTATTTTGGACATAAACAACTCTTCCTAATCTCAACCAATAAGTTCCTTTGACAAATCACTTCACACATTGCAACACTTGAAACATGACTCCAAACTTTTATCGCTAATGCTTGAATGTTATATGAACCACATTTTTAGGCTCGAGTTCCACTAGTGTATTTCCTAAGGATATATTATACGCACTCCTAAGTTTCGCATTCACTACAATATATGATTTTGAATAACATCATACGCTAACATTGACCATCTCGTAACAACATATAACAGAAAAATGCATACCATAGCATGGGAATTAAGTTTCTAATTATCCCTCCTAAAAAATCAACTGAAAAGAAAAGGGAACAACTATGGATTTTGATAAATATCATTTCCTGATCAAAACTAATGAAGAACTTTTCAAATGTCCTTATTTATGTTTCCATCTTCAGAAGTTGTTTGTGATTTTCTGTCTTTTCTCTTCTTTGATCCCGAACCAGAACCAGGAGAGCATACTCTTGACCTGTTACATGAAAATTACCAAGTATCTATGGAGTATGAAGGGAGAGAGACGAATATTCGTTTGGAAGGAAATGTAACTAACTATTTATAACTACTTCTAACTAATCAACTGTCATAACAGAAAACTGCTAACCGATCAATAACTGTTAAAATATACATACTAACTGGTTAACAATATATCATATATATGTATGTGTCTGTTTTAGATGGAATTTTTTATTAATGCTATTAATGAACTGCTTTTTGAGGACAATTTGGTCTTTGTCACCTACATGAAAAATTAAAATTATATTTTCATTAATGTCAATAAATCAAATTAGTACTTTTTATTATCTAAGACAAAATTTGATTTTTTTTCTGATATATAATATACTTATAATTTTTAACTTTTAAACTTTTTTTTAATAAGAATTCTTAGCATTCATTAGAACTAATAAATGTAAACACAAATAAAGAAATATTTTCAGTTAGTAGTTGTATAGAAACGTTAAATGCAAGAACATAAATTTACGTTAAATGCAGGAACATAAATTTAAACCCGCAATATCTCAGTTGTTCATCTTTAATTAGGTAAATTTCAACCACTAGGTTTAGACTATAAAGAGTAAAGACCTAGTTTATTTTTGTAAAATAATTAGAGATCTTTCATTATTTATTTTTTTATTTAATTTTGGAGTAAGAGATCTTTCATTTTTTTTTTTTTTTGGAGTAAGAGATCTTTCATTATTTTGTTGATAACAAATCTAAACTCTACATTCTTTTTAATAAAGATCAAAATGAATTTTCACTCTTATTTAATTAAAAAGTAAATAAAACTACCAATCTGGTCCCCTATTGTTTTTGCACATTTTCACTCGTATTCAGACAAAATCAGGAAGAAAAAAAAGTCCACTTAAATGATAGCAGAAATTCAATAAGCAATATAAACCTATCGATGCAAAATGTTAATAAAAAAAAAACACAAACAATTGACATAATCGTTGCATCTGATCTGATGCCATTATGGCAAATGATAGAATGAACATACTATTGATGTACAGTGGAATCTCTGTTCTCCATGACTAGCTTGTTTGAACTATTGTACAGTTAATTTAAAACAAATGAACCCTAATTACATTATATTGTTCGAATGAAGATTAAAAATACAATGGATGGCCTCTTCTCATCCTCCTTCAAATCTCAAGAATTCTTCCCCTCCAAGTTAATGAATTACATATATAGGTACTTAGACAAAACAGGTACTACGTTGAAAATACATATCTCTTACCCTTTTTCTGATAAGAATCATTTGCCCCTTCCAATGGCTTTATTTTAACTTAAATCCCCTCCAAGCCTTCCCTTTCCAAAAATTTACTTCTCCCAATGGAAGTTGCAAGCAAGAGACAACTCCCTAGCTCACATGCCACCTAAGAAGCACTTTCTTCTTATGAGACACCACTATCTTGTATGCAGTTGGCAAAAGAAAACCATGAGATGCAAAACGATGAAGGCCCGTGGTGCACCTAACAGAAAACAATGTTTTTCACTACCTCATTGTTCTAAGTAAAAAGCATCTTCAACTCCTCAATCCGTGCAGATCGAACTTCCTGATCCGTCAAGGCACCAGATATCATTCTCTGTTTGCGTGCTTGCACTGCCTCCATTCTCTGCTCAACTGACCCCTGCAGTGTGAAATGTAAGAATAAATGCATTACTTTTAGTCAATGAAGTCACATCATATTGTGATATGCACCAAACAGACATCCTAACAACCTTGTGTAACTATCCATACATATTATATTACTGACTCACTTGAACTTACAATTTCTCATACATATTATATAACACGCATCAGTTTCCGACACTTGTATGACACTCGTGACAAGTGTCGGAAAAATAAAACAAGTGTCCCTAAAAAATACGTTTTTTCCTTTGCTTTGACACGCTATGACATTCATACGACATGGGTCGAACAATTCAAATAAGTATTTCAAAAAAATTGTTTTTTTCTTTGCTACAACACATTTTTTTGGACAATTCTCACACACATCTAAAAAGATTAAGTATGTATTGGAGCAATGTTATGAACAAAGAATTAAAAGACATTAATTTTTATTAGAATATTTTTAACTTTTTTAATAATAGATATAAATGAAAGTCAAATACAATCATATATTAGTGCCGTGTCCGAGAGTCAATGCTTCATAAATAAAATAATGTTCCATGCACGTATGATTTCCCAAATTTGGGATATTAAATATACCTTCACAATAAACCGTTTGATGGCCACCTTCTTTGTTTGTCCAATGCGATGAATACGCATAACAGCTTGTTCCTCAACAGCTGGATTCCACCATGGGTCCTGTTGATATTGACAAACTATCTATATCAAAAGTGCTTTTAGAAAAACAACTTAATGAACAATAACAATAATAATGATATGCCACGTCAGTTAGGTTGGTTATTCATAAACATATTATGGTGCAACTTTTTGAATACTTAATACTCTTGTATAAGATTCATGGCTCCTGCCTAAAAATTGCATAGACTAAATTTCTTAATCTAAAATATATACTAAAGCTAACTAATTGGAAGCCAAAATTCTGTATATTTATATAGAAACCAGTAAAAGTATTTTGGGTGTATAATAGCCTAAATTTGCATCGTTTTGTTACATTCATTTATCTCCCAGCTTCAAATCAATCAAAGAGCCGTGTTTTGACTTCCATTTTATTGAAACATGTGTTCAATCAAGTATCAACTGAAACCTTGTTTGCAAATCTTGAAAGAATCCTATTGAAAACAACATTAGGATCCATGTGTTTTCTTTATTGATTGTAGGATTGGCTTAAAATGAGATAGAATATTCTGTAATTATTCTATTAGTTGCTTTGAAGTCTAGATAAATAGTGCACAGTGTGCAGTTGAAGCCCGTTGCACCATGTGTCCTTTATTATTCTCATTCAACATACCAAAATACTTTGTTTACCCTACATTAGAAAACCTGAAGCTAGACAAACACACACCAGCTTAAGCAAATAGAAACTGATATGCCCGTACCATGACAAAAGCATTGGAAGCTGCAGTTAGATTTATACCCACTCCACCTGCTTTTAACGACATCAACAACACCTGGTGCAAGAAATAACTACTGATGGTCATTAATAGTCAATACATTGAAACAGCTCGCTGTACTGACTAGGTAACAAACAAACATGAGGAAATATGTTAAAACCTGTATGTCACTGTCTTCTGAGAATTGTTTGATTACTTTTTCCCGCTGCTGCAGATTCAATGTCCCGTCAAGACGAAGAAATGATATTTTATTCCTGGACATCAATGATAAAACAAAGATAATGATTAATGAACCCCCGGTATCATTGTTCATCACCAAGATGAAGCATGTCACAAGATCACAGCAATCATTAAAGTGGATATCAACTTCAATAGAATAATTAAAACACAATGTAAAAAAAAAATAAAAAAAAAACATTACTGTCCATAGGAACAGCTCTTTTCAAGATTTCACTTTCACTCAAATTCTCCCACGTTATTCCTAAAAAACAATTAAACCAGCAAAAATCTTACCGAGTAAAGGGAATCTGCAAGAGGTCTAGAAAAGCAGTCCACTGGCTGAAAACAATGCTCTTAGATCCTGAGGAGCGGAGAGTTTCAAGTTCATTCAAAAGACCAGTTACCTTGCATGACTCTACCCAGTTCTTCTCTATATCAACCTGAAATCGACTCTCGGTAGGGGCAGTGATAAGATCCTGCTTGCACACCGTTTTCCTGTTAAAAACAATTTTAGGAATAGAAGTTTGCACTATAACCTTGAAACTACTAATAAAAACAATCTTAAACATCTATTAGTCCAAGTTAAAGATAAGATATCCAAAATTCTAACAGGTTAACCTGAAAATACCTACAAACAGGACATAAACCAGACATAGAATTTCGCCAACTTGCCAAGAGGCATTCCCGGCAAAGGCGGTGAGCACATGGTGTCAACACTGCATCTTCAAATGCTTCAAGACATATTGGACACTCTCCCTGCTCCCCTTTACGCAGCTCCTCCACAACTTCTTGAACATAAGCTCGTGAGAGTGCATCTTTTTCTTCACCTTCTGAAGCATTACAAGTTCCTTTAAGGAAGCGCTTAGCTAGTTTCTTTAGATCAGCAAATTCTTGAGTATCACCTCGACTAAAAAATCAATGGCCATCATGACAAAAGGTTAAGGCTTAGTAAGACAACAATTAAATTATGCAAGGGAAAAAGAAAACATCACCACAAGAGAGCTTTTAAATCATAATGTGTTCAACAAAGTTCCCAAAAAAACATCAAAAGTGAAACATCATCAAGCACAGCTAAGAAAACCATCCTAAATGATAAACCCATTCCTAAATAGTATCTACTGCAATCAAACACCATATACAAACATATCAGCTATGTATATCTGTGTTCAAGAAAGAAAAGTTTGTGATGAGTCATGAGCTCACAGCTTAAATAAAACATTCCAAATACTTTCAAACAATTTAGTGATGGAAAATCAAATAAGCAGGGCTACCAATCGAGAAAGCCATGCACAAGGATGGTGAAAAGAGGGTGGGATAACCACTTGATCTATAATCGTTTCTTGCTTCTTACTCACATTTAGTAATATTACTCTTTTTCTTTTGGGTGGCTTTGTCTCTGCCATGTAGCACATTGGAGCTCAATTCTAAACAGTTGTTCTCAGAAAACTATTGTCTTTTGTTATGTGATCAAGTTCCTTTACCACATCCACCTAAGCTTTTGAGGAGGAAGTACAAAAGTACATCTAGGCATGCAACTCTTGAGTTGCTCAAACTGTCAGAATGCTTATTTGACAGATGTCATCACAGCTGTTAGTTGTTAGTTAGAATTTTTCAGTTAAACGCGGACACTTTTGCTATAAATTATAACTGCAGTAAGATTATTTTACTGCACCAGAGCTGCCATAAACTTCATCAGACCCCTATAAATAACTCATTTACTCTATCATTCTTCAGCAATTCAAATATCAATTTTTTTACCACTTTCTCTTTCTCTAGAATCCCTCAGTTTCAGAATTTCTATATCATTCTTTCAAAGTGCTGCCTTCTGGCTCCACCTTAAAAACCCATAGCCTTCTAAATATAATTAGCAACAAGTTACCCTTCATAATACTCTTCAATTTCAGAAAGAAATGAGATTTTTCTGAATTTTGAAAGAAAATTGACAGTTAGATCAATATACATAATAAGTACTTCTCAGCTACTCCCTGACTCATTTCAATTTCCAATACACTTTTTCTGGTTCTACCCTCTAATTAATAAAAAGTCCATCATTCCCAATACATGATAAGGTGTACTATAATAAAAACATTATTCTCTCTCTTACTTTTATACATTTTTCTTAATATGTGTGAAATAGTCAATTGGGTCACTCATTGTGGGACGGAGGGTGTATCATTTATGCTTTTCACCTCCCTAATGCACACTATCATTCAGCATTTCGTCATTATTTTGCCATCCTGTATCTGATCAGTTTGATTAGCGCTGAAGTTCACTGAAATTCAATTTTGATACCATACATTATATTTCAGAGCCAAATCTTTTCAAAAAAAAAAAGCATGTTTCTTACTGAGAACATTACTGAACTTTCTCCTTAAAATGAAAAAAATAAACCTAACCTAACTAAGAACACCTCAGAATAGCTTATGAATTGCATTTTATTGGTCAGACCAAATTAGAAATTTCCTTTGAGCAAGTCAAATATGTTTGTGAACTGTTCCTTAAAGTCAATTGATCAGACCAGACCAGACACGTTGTTAAAACAATTTACACCGGCAGCATCTTTCCACTGTAACAGCCATGTATATATAACCGAAATGTAAGACGCCCCACCTCATTACAAGAAATGGATGGTCACAGCATTGCCGAAGACGTAAAAGTAGCTCTAGAATTGAAGCATAATTATGAAGAACACGTCCTTGCTCAACAAATTGATCAAACTTTACCTGCATAAATTTCACCCAGCATGCATGATCAACATAGCCTTTTTCAGTGCCAAAGAAGTAAAATGAAAATTTTTAATATAGATTAGGATTAACTTTAAAAAAAACAAAAAACCTTAGATCTTTTGAATAGGGCCTCATAAAAGTCTTTTTCAGCTTCTGTGGGTTCACAGTAAATTATCTGCATATCAGCAGGAGGGAGAACAAGTATAGGCCTACAACAAACAATAGGTTAACAGAATATACTAGATTTAAAAACAACTCAATTGCTTAACCAGTTTACTAACTTGCCCTCTCGATCTGTGCTATGTTTGGTTCTCCTCAACATGATAGGCTTCAAAATGGACTGAACTAATTTCAATCCTCTCTCATCGCCACCCTCAAATGGTTTCTGAATAAGCTTGTTCCACCTGGATCATACAAGGCAAGTCTTCAGAGTCATGCTTTCCAGCCACATACCCCCCTTATGGTTAAATAATTGAAGTAATAAACAGAGTAGAAGTAACTAAAGTGCTTAGCAATAGATCGCTTTCCACCCTCCAGTTATTTTAATCAAATTTTGACTGGAAACATTATATTAGAAGAAATAGGTAAAAGTTGTTGTATTTTATTCCTTAGCCTTAGGCTGGTTTATATAGAGAAGATACAATCAATACATTTAATTTTCTTCTTAATGGAGAATAATGGAAAATAAAGAAAAATAAAGAGCCATAAAGGAAATAATAAAATAATATTTTCCAACACCCCCCTCAAGTTGGTGCATAGATATCTATCATGCCCAACTTGTCTATCAAATGCTCAAAAATAGGTCTTGCCAAACTTTTGATCAAGATATCTGCAGTTTGCTGACTTGAAGTCACGAAGAGTAGACATATGATTTTAGCATCTAACTTCTCTCAGTATCCTATAAACTGCCTCAACATGTTCTTCGAAAGGAGAATGCATAAACTGACTCACTACACTAACTGAAAAAGCAATATCAGGTCGGGTTTGTGACAGATAAATCAGTTTCTCAACCAATCTCTGATATCTTCCAGTATCAACGGGAACATTACCTTCTCCCCAAAGTTTAGCATTAGGATCCATAGGGGTATCTGCAGGACGACATCCATTCATTCATGTTTCTTTCAACAAGTCTAGAATGTATTTCTGTTGTGAAACCACAATATCATTCTTTGACCGAGCAACCTCCATACCTAGAAAATATCTCATGAATCTCAAGTCCTTGATTTCAAAGTCAACTGTCAATTTCTCTTTTACTCTTGTCATTTCCATTGTATCATCTCCAGTAAGGACAATATCATCAACATAAACAATCAAGGCAACAACTTTTCCATAGACACATATCTTCATGGACGGTGATTTTTTAAACCAAGCTCTAGGGGACTGCTTTGATATACAAAGACTTATTTAGTTTGCACACATTTGATCCAAATTTGTTTTCAAAGCCAGGAGGAATGTCCATATATACTTCTTTTAGATCGCCATTAAGAAATGCATTCTTAACATCTAACTGATGTAGGGGCCAATCCAGATTAGCAGCAAGAGATAAAAGAATTTTGACAATGTTCAATTTAGCAACAGGAGCAAATGTCACAGAGTAATCTATATCGTAGGTCTGACTAAAGCCTTTAGCCACCAAGCGAGTCTTGTACCTTTCAATTGACCCATCTGAATTATACTTCACAGTAAACACCCATTTGCATCCAACTGTCTTCTTGCCATTTGGTAGTGACATAACACTCCAAGTTTTGTTCTTTTCAAGAGCTTTCATCTCCTCAAGTACAGCTTCCCTCCACTTTGGAATTTCTAAAGCAACCTGAACACTTTTTGGAATTTCTACACAATTTTGAGGTGAAGGCATACATAAGATGAAGACAAATTTGAATATGATATAAATTTGGATATGGGGTGTTTAGTGCAAGATCTAAACAGGTTTTCTAATGGCAACAGGTTCATCTATATCAGAATACAAAATATGCTTTCAAAAACAGAGATAGACTTACCTTTTCGTTTGTTAGGAGGTTGATCATTCCCTGGTTCAGATTTCTAGCAGTGTTGAGATGTGGACTCGTCCCTTCCTTTATGGTGCTTTTTCACAAAAACCTTTACTTTCCAAGTCCTGGTTTCTAATTAATATGTTTTCTTGAAGTGACTCATTATTTTGTGGCATTTCAATAAGATCACCATTATCATCGTTTTCAAGATTCTCATTGTTTTCTACAAGACAAAATGTAGGCTCGGATTCACAAGGTTCCTTACTCATATAACAGGAGTAGGATCAGATAAAGAATCATGGACATTTTCTATTGGTGTATGTGTAAAAGTCTCAGAATTTTGTGATACTGGCAAAAATAAGTTATTTAAAAAACTCATGTCCTCAATTTGAAACGAGTCTTCGTTTATCTCGTCCCCTTGAAGATGAGTGTCATCAAAAAAAGATTTATTTTCAAAGAATGTAACATCCATAGTGACAAACATTTTCTTATTTTTTGGATCAAAACTTTTATATCCTTTTCGGGTTGGGGAGTATCCAATAAAGACACATTTTATGGCATGTGGCTCAAGTTTTCCAACATTTTTATGTTCATGGACAAAGATTGTGCAACCAAAGATTTTTAAATTCAAATTAGTTAAAACACGAGTACTAGGAAAACATTCTTTGTAGACATTAATAAGAGTTTGAAAATTGAGAATTTTGGAGGGCGTCCTATTAATTAAATACGCAGCTGTTAAAACAGCTTCGTCCCACAAATAATTAGGTACTTTATTTGAAAAAAGTAGAGCTCTAGCAACCTCTAGTAAATGTTTATTTTTCCATTCGAACACTCCATTTTGTTGAGGAGTATTAGGACACGAACTTTGATGAACAATTCCATTTTTTAGAAAAAAATCATCCAGGATATTGTTAAAATATTTTGTCATTATCACTTCTAAAGACTTGGATATTTGTTTGAAATTGGTTTTGCACCATTAAAAAAAAATTCTTTACAGTCTGTCTGATTTCCCTTTTAACAAGTACACCCAACATACTCTTGTATGGTCATCTATAAATGTGATAAATCATTTTTTGAGAGAGAGTGTACTTGTACGGTTAGGGTCTCAAACATCACAGTGAATAATAATAGAAAACGGTTTTGATGGTTTATAAAGCTATATTGAAAATTGGGAACGATGATGCTTTGCAAACTCATATGTTTCACATTTAAATGAAGAAAAATTCTTATTATGAAATAACTTAGGAAACAAGTGTTTTAAGTAACGAAAACTAGGGTGCCCTAATCTTAAATGTCATACCATAATGTTGTCATCTTTATTATTTAAAACAGAAAAAGACTCAAAGTAAGAACTTATTGTTTTTAAAGGTTGTTGTGATGCAGATCCAATGTCAAGGAAGTAGAGTCCTCCACTCTCCTTAACACTGCCAATCATCTTCCCCGAGTTCAAATCTTAAAAGACATAGTGAGATCGGAAAAAATCAGTTTGACGATTTATATCTTGGGCTAATTTGCTTACGGAGATTAAATTACACGATAAGTTTGGAACATGAAGGACATTTTTAAGAGTTAACATTGAAGACAACATAATTGACTCTTAACCTGCAATGGCTGAAAATGAGCCATCTGCAATTTTTATTTTTTTATTACCTGCACATGGACTATATGAAGAGAACAAAGTAGATTCACTTGTCATGTGATTAGAGGCACCAGAATCTACTATCCAAGTATGACTAAGACTGACACTAAGAAATGCATAATTACCTTTTGTTGCTATAGAACAAGAAGGGATTGGAGACTCGAGGAGTTTGTACAGTCTGTCTAGTTGTTCTGTAGTGAGTGGAAGTTGAGTTTGAGGGGATTGCTGCCCTTGATCAGAATTATTAGCCTGAAATGCACGACCACCTTTCTTCTTCCAGTTAGGAGGTTTGCCTTTGAGCTTCCAACAAGTTTCACGTGTATGTCATTCGCACTTGCAATGATCACACCAAGGAACTTTGTTTGACCTTCTTCCCTCGTCAAGGTTCCTAGCAGCCAAAGCTGAGCCTTCAGATTCAGAGCTTCTTGTACTCTTGCCCATCATAATTCCTTGTTGTGCCTTCTCCCTTCTTATTTGTGCAAAAATTTCAGAGTTGGCAATGGTACTTTTCCTAAAACTCTACCTCTTGCCTCATCAAGATCTTATTGAGCCCAGCGAGAAATATGTACACGAGCATTCTCTTACCTCTTGAGAAACAAAACATTGTCTTCTGTACATCTCCAATTGTCATCATAACAGAGATCTAACTCTTACCACAGTGTCAGCAGCTCGTTGTAATAAGCATTTACACTCATGTCACTTTGTTTCGCGTGCCATAACTTCGATTTTAACCCAAAAATTTGGGAGGAGTTTTGAATATCAGAGTATGTCTCCTTAAAAGCTTCCCACGCATCCTTTGCGAAAGGTAAAAACATGTAAGGCTTACCTATTCCAGTTTCCATAGAGCTTACCAGCCACGCAATAATCAAGGAGTTTTCAGACTTCTATTGTTTGTAACAAGGGTCTCCTGTTGCCGGTTCAGCTATTGTTCCTGTTAAGAAACCAACTTTCCCTTTGCTATCCAATACCAACCGAACGGTTTGAGCCCATTCATTATAGTTAGTTCCATTCATTTTAGAGATATTGACCTTGAGGGAGTATGAGGAACCCTCTTGATCATTACTGTCTATGTTGGAATAACTGACACCAAAAACAACATTGTTATTGTTGGCGTCATTACTGTCAAAAACAATGTTGTTACTATTTTCATCGTTTCCACGGCCACAGTCGTTTCCGCAGCCACCGCCGTTTCCACGGCCGACGCCCGACTCAAGTGGCAGTTGTTCGCCTTGGTTGGATCCAATGTAGGCTTGTGATGGGGAAGACCACTTATTGTTGTTATTTGCCATAGGAGACTAAACGGGTATGTGAAACGGGTCGGGTAAGAAAGCAGGTCAAACAGTAATCCCTAGTTGTGGAAAGCTTTACAATAACCCCTAACTCAATGCTCTCGATACCATATTAGAAGAAATAGGTAAAAGTTATTGTATTTTATTCCTTAGCCTTTGGCTGGTTTATATAGAGAAGATACAATCAATACGTTTAATTTTCTCCTTAATAGAGAATAATAGAGAATAATGGAAAATAAAGAAAAATAAAAAGCCATAAAGGAAATAATAAAACTGAAAATATAATATTTTCCAACACATTATTTTCATAAACCCCAAATAAATCATAAGGTGTTGATATCTTCAGTTCGCCAACAGAGACTTTAAAAGCAAAATAAAAAAAGGAGAGCCAGACCAGTAGTCTTAAGAGTCAAACTAAAAATTCTATGTACAAGTCTTGTTACTGCTTTCATTTGTTTCAATCCTCTGAAGGAAATATTTGAGAGCTAAAACATTAACTAGAATGTGGGACAATAAATCAAGTTAGATAAATGAAATCCAAAGTTTGATTTCAACATATATAACAAAAAATAAAACCATAACTAAACATCAAAGCCTAGCATTCGCCCTCCAAAAATAACAGAGAAATGAAAAAGCATGGTAAAACATATTGGATATTGGACATATTACAATTAGAGTTAAATAGCCAACACTAAGAATAAAATTATTTTACCAGGCCCAATGACCCCAAGGCTCTATTCTCAAAAAGCGAAGAAGACTGTAAACATCTTCAAGGTTGTTCTGTAGATAAAAATAAAAGGACTCAGTGTCAGAAAGCATAAAATCTATATGATTATTTTTGCTGTCACGAGAGTCGTGACCAACCAAAAATAAGTCAACTGATGCTCAATACGAATACATGAAATTCAAGAGCGCTCTTCTGGCCTCTGGATTAAGAAATTTTCTAACCACTAACTAACTGCCCCCTTTCTCTTATATATGAGTAACATGAATTTACAATTGAATATTAATTCTCTCCTTTCTATTCCCCCGCATAACATTTATCCTCTTAATTAACTATTGGGATTTGGGTGTCTATCAATACTCATTTGAAAGTCATTAACACAACCCAACTGCTGATATTCTTTACCTTTCCCAAAGAAAAAAAAGTATACGGAATTCATTTTTGGAATTGAAAAAAGAACAAGTCAACAACAAGCAAATTTGCATGACAAACCAAATGTTATCATATTTAAACATTAATACCCAACTTGCTAGGATTAAGCAAAAATAATAAATGAAGTATAACAGAACAAAAATGCAAGATGACAAAATATACACAATTCAGAGCATGAAAAAGAAATTATAATCATAAACAAATCATAATCATACAACCCAGAGAGAGATGGAAACCATAAGACACTGTCAAAGTTAAATCAAGATTTGTAAGTTTAATCATACAACATAACCTCAGCATTAATTGAAGATTGAAGATTCCCGGTATATCGAATTAATGCATCGCTTAGTGGTCTTCTAAAAATTTGGACGAAAACTCTTGTCTTAGATTTAATCCATATAAAAAAGAATTTTGTATAAGAGTAAGAATCGAAATATACACCTGGATTGGAGTCCCAGTAAGACACCAGCGATTGTCAGCAACTAGAGCAGAAGCAGCCATAGAAACTTGACTTTTAGAAGATTTTATAGTATGTGCTTCGTCAAGAACCACTCTGAACCAACGAATTGAGAAGAGTCCACCATTATTCTCTGCACTCTGTACAAGAGACGGATAGAAAGATGTGCAAGTTGATAAGATTTAAGAAATGAACCAAACTGGCAGAGAACTATAAGAGTGAACAGGTTTGCAGCTACCTCACTGGAAAAATCAGAAGCCAAAACTCCGTATGTAGTAATTACAACGTCACACTGAGCTAGACTTTTTGCATCTTTGGGCCTACTTTGCCCATAATGAACATATAGAGACAGGGACCCAGGGCGCACGTGAGTTTCAATCTCTGCCTGGAAAATTGTCAAATGTTTAGAACTGGAAAAAAAAGCATTTGAATTACTCTATATATCCCACATTTGAATACAAGATAGCTACATAATGTAAATACCTTCCACTGCCCAAGAAGAGTCATGGGACATATTATCAAGTTGCCGCCACTTGTTAGAGAATTACTTTGCTTCATTGGTTTATCAAAACCAGTAAATTTGGTTACCTTCTTTGGAATGTCTGCAAAATTGGGAATTGTACCAGTATCACTAACTTCGCCACCTTCAATAAATGACTGTGTTATGGGTTGACTGCCTAATAATCCACCCCTTCCTGAATGGGCAACGAGAAGGGATATGGTCATTACTGTCTTTCCAAGTCCCATGGCATCTGCCAAAATCTTCAGTTTCAAAAGAAAATAATGCATTATAAAATTGAAAAGTATGTGAAATAACAACAAAAAATCGGGGTTAACTACTTAAAAAACTTACTCCTCCTCTGGCCATTTGAAGGGTGCTAGGAAATTCTGTTGTGGCTTCACCAGAAAATGCATTCAAATAAACAACAAGCTCCCTCCTGAAAAACACAAGCACGACTACTACATCAGAACCATTCATTGGTTTATTGTCTATGACAAGTAACAACACGCACATACTTGTCAGCCAGGCGATATGCCTCCCAACAAGGATGAAGGGTTGTTGTAGTATCGTTCCTTGGCCGTCCCTTCTCCATCTGAATCATCCAATGAAGAGCTTGTTTTTGATAGGGTCGCAGATCACAAAGAAGATTTTCAGGGGGGTCCATTTCCTAAACAAAACTTTCAGGTTAGTGGACAATAATCATGATATATGTAGAACACAGCATGTTAATCAGCACCTCTAACTCTGAACTTGACGCAACACCAACAATGTTTTCAAGATCAAATTCGGGAACAGTATCCTCAGTTTCATTCTCATGACCATTTTGCAAAGGACGCTCGGCCTTGGCATGTAGTGATGTGACCTGAAGAGAAAATCCCTTCTGTTAAAGAAACCAACCATGTTAATGAAGATGTGGTTTGAAGCAATCAAATCCATAACCTTTACCGTTTGACTGAAAGGACGCTTGTTGGAACAGAAATCACCAGGAGTTAACTCTGCCTAAAAAAACAAGCAATAATGCAAGTCAATAGTCTAGTTCGACTTAATTATACTAACAAGTGAGTCACTTGTTTCAACAGCAGAAGCTGACTCCATAGACAACAAGAAAACACATTTTACATTGAATACACCAAAGATATAAAAACAACCCAAAAGAAGAAGAAAAATGTAACAGCCAACAACAACCTTCTTGAAAGGACTAAGACCAAGCAATCGAAACAGGGCTGGAAGAGGATGAAACACTGATTCATCTGTCGAATTCGCAGCATCCTTAAGAGAAACCTGATGTTGCTTAACAAACATTGACCTATTGATGAATACACTGAAACAGACACAATTTATTTATTTGCCATCACATAAAATTAACCATAAAACCATATAATAAACAATTACTTCAACAAAAGAATGTAACTATGCAACTAGTAAAGAACATGGTGTGACAACCCAAGAAACTTTTCGCAATGAGCATATACCTGACTGACAAAATGATAGTATCCATGATGCCCAAAACATTAGGTGCAGATTCACATTTCCCTTCAACCTTAACCTTATTATCCCGCACCAGAGGCAACAAACACCGAGCCCATTCGTTTGGTATTCTACCAATCTTACAAAAACAATCAAATACATCAACTTAATCACAAAGTGAATTTACAAATTACAAAAACAAAAACCTTACTATTTTAAACAATTTCAAATTACCTCCCAATCTTGTTCATTAGAAAACCGAACTATCTCCGAACAAGCTACTGCCCGCCCAAAACCCTTACCCGGAGAAGGCGAAACAGAAACCTTTTTAGACGGAAACTTGAAAATCACTGCATCACCTGATTTTATAGTCCTCCCTTTACACGTGGACAGCCCCGCCACTTCACCGGAGCCAATGAACCACCAGTCAGTGGAATCAGCCTCGACGGAACATTTCTTGTTTTCTGCATGGACATTACGCTTCCAACTGGATGTGACCGAGGGTGGAGTTGATTTCGGAGGAGAAACCCGCCGTTTATTGATGGCGTGAGTGGGTTGGGATTTAGGGGTGCTGGTGTCGAAGATTATGTTGATGGCGGCAGTGACGTCGTTTTTGGCCATATGAAGAGCTCTTATGATGTCCATGTCGGTGAATTCCGAACCGACTATGGATCGGACGGTGTAGAGGCGATCGTCGGAGACCTTGCTACCCATCGGAACCCTAACCCTAAAAAATTCTTAATTTTTTTTTAATGCTAAGGGTTTGGGATTAGAAAAAACCCTAATTTGAAGGTAAAAGGGTTCAAAAAAAGAAGAGGAAATTTGAAATTCGTAGAAATTGTAAATTAGCGGTGAGTCTCTTGTTACATGGCGGGAGTTCGGGTGAGAGTGACGTGGCTATTTATCTCTCCTTCCCGCCATATCCAATTGAGATTTGGAAAAGCTCTTTTTTTAGTCTCTACAAATTGAAGTAAAACGTGATTTGACCTGATGTATTAAGTTCAAACAAGATCGTGAATGCGAAGCTATGTTTTTATTTACATGTTTAAAATAATCATGTCTATTACATTTTTATTGTTGAGTATTATTTAATTTGATCAAGTATATAATTTATTTTGATACACTTCACTTATGTTATATTTTGAGAATCGAGATTAATGATAATTTATATATAATATTTATATTTTTAAGTTCAACAAAGTGTGTTTTTTTAAAAATAAAACTGTGATAAGTTCTCACACTCTAAAGCAAGTAATATCTTATAAATATGGTGGTATGAATTTGAAGTAGATAAGAATATTGACGAAAAGGGGTAAGTATAAGTCAGATCAATTAACCGGAGTCTGCGGCCTACACAAGTAAATGTCAAATCAAATTTTTTTAATAGAAAAGATCTAAACTTTTTTATAAGTATATTTAATTAAATAGGTTATGTCACATGTCATTAAGGACACATTTTAAGTCTATCAAACCGACCTATTTTAATAAATATTATTTAAATTTATTATTTTTTATATTGTATTTTTTATTTTTTATTAAAATACAAAAAGTAAAGTTTAATTATTCTGGAGAACTTGTGAAAATAAGTTGAAAAAATCTAACAATTAATATCATAAGTAATTTTCATAAGTGAAGAAGAAGTGTGATCTTTCAATTAGTAATCAATCATGCATAAACAAATCACTTATCCAAACCTCATTTTCATGAAAATGGTGGATTGTGTTAGAACATAGTTTGATTCTACAACTCTTGTAAGAGTTTTGATGATAACAAACGCAAAGAACAATTATGCTCCCAAAATTTATATTCTATTTTGCAGAGAAGTTATGATGGAAGAAGACCAGAAGATATGCTATAATGCTATTTCAACTCCGATTATAAACATTTCTTAGAGAAATTCTGATGGAAGAAAATCAGAAGATGCGATATAACGTTGTTTCAACTCTGACTGTAAATATTACTTAAAGAAGTTCTGATAAGAGATGAGTTACAAAGATGTTTCAACTTTGATTATTAACATCTCTGAAAAAAGTTCTAACGCTGCAAACAAGACTTTGTGGTTCTAATCTACAATGTTTTAAAGCAAGCAGCAACGGTCTCTTCCATCTTCTGAAGCAAGCATGTTCTGAAGCGTTACAAATCAAATATTTTCTTTTCAAAAGTAACGGCTGGAAGGGAACAAGGATCTTTATTTTTGGAAAGCACCTTAATTGTCATTGATCAACATTCCAAATACTCTTTCATGCTTCGCCTATTTAAACAAGTCTTTGAGGATAAATTGTTCACGATTTCTCATGCACGGTAATGCTGCTATCATTTTTCATCCTCAAACATTCAACATTCAAATTGTGTAAAACATCACTTGTATTGTGATACTGTTTTATAAGAAACATTATTGTACACTTTTATTCATACATTGTTTAGAGAAATTCCTTGAGAAAAAACGGATTATGGTTTATACTCAAGAAGACTTTGACAATTGTCAAAGTAGATTTGTAATCAAGATTGATTAGTGGATTAAGACCTCGTTGAGATAGGCGAAATTACCTTGGCGGGTGGACTGAAGTAGATTGAGTTCAAATGAACCAGGATAACCAACTTGTTCTTTACTTTAAGTTTTAAAAATCCCAATTCAAACCCCTAATTCTTGTGTTTTTCCATTCTCCAATTGGTATCAGAGCGTCTGGTTCTGAGTTCAAGCACTTAATTGTATCAGTAAAAGATCCAAGCTAAGAAAAACACTATGGTGGGGCAAAGTCAGAACATCAGCAATGACTACCATGATGAGAAAGACAAAATTGGAAGTTTATTTCTGGCTCGTGACGCTGATCTTTGAGATATGGTGATTGATGGGTACATATATCCTGTTGATGAAAGCGGTCAGAAGATTGACAAAAAAAAGAATGTCAGATCATCAAAAACGAGACTTCAGAAATCATCACAAGGACAGAACTATTCTCCTGAGTTCCATCTCATACTCAGAGTATAAGAAGATCACAAACAAAAAGACGGTAGAGCACATGTTTGATTCCTTGAGAATGACGCGTGAAGGCAACACGCAAGTCAAAGAAACCAAAGCCCTTGCGCTCATTCAGAAGTATGAAGCCTTCAAAATAGAAGAAGATGAAATTATTGAAACAATAATCTCAAGATTTCAAATTCTGGTTGTTGGGCTAAAAGTTCTGGACAAAGGGTACTCAACTACTGATTATGTAAAGAAGATCATCAGGAGTTTAACAAAATATCTCTAGAAGAACTTGTCATCTCTCTCAGAAGTCATGAGATAAAGTTAGAAGATGACGAGTCCCATAATCAAGGTAAGCATTTAGCCCTTAAATCTAACAAAAGATATGACTCTAAAGTTTTGCAGGCAATAGAAGAAAACTCTGGTGGATCCTCATCAAAAGAAGACGAATTATCCATTCTCTCCAGAAGAGTTGATCAGTTATGGAAGCACATGCAAAGGAAGTTCATAAATTCCAGAAGAATAGGGAATCAGTCTGAATCATCATCTGGATACAGAAATTTTGAACCATCTTCTGAATACAGAAAGTCAATAAACAGAGACATTGTCTGCTACGAATGCAATGAACAAGGGCACTATAAAAGCGATTGTCCAAAGCTTCAAAAGGAGAAACCTAAAAATAAGTTCTTTAAGGAGAAGAAGAAAAGTCACATGGCAACATGAGATGACTCAGACTCTTCTGAAGCAGACACAAAATCAGAAGATGAAAGAGCCAACATTGCCCTTATGGCCAACGTGTCAGAAGATACTGAATCATCTAGATCAGAATCAGGCTCAGGGACAGAAGAGGTATTTTCTAACTTTTCCAGATCTTAATTAGAAGAGAGTCTGTCAGAAATTCTAGAAATGTATCAAAAACTTCAAGTCATAAACAAGAACCTGAAAAAGGATCTAGTTTATGACTCTGAAGAAACTAAGAATCTGAGATTGGAAATCTCTGAGTTGAAAGAAAAAATTTTAAAACTTGAAAATGAATTACAAAATACTTAAAAGGAAACTATCTTTGAAGTTCCTAGTAACCCTGATAAGATCGTAAAGGAATCTGATCATAGCTTTCAGAAATTCCTTGCTAAAAACATAGATAGAAGCAAGATGGCTTCAACGATCTATGGAGTTAGCAGAAATGGAAGAAAAGGTATAGGATACAAAGGTAAAGTATCCCAACCTAAGAAAGTTAAGGATTTGGTTATTAAACGAACTCCTCTAAATTCTCACTTTACTTATGGGCACACACATGACTTAAAGTATACTAGTAATGATTTCTCTGCTAAACCAAAATTCAAACTGAATTTTGGTAACTCTAACAAACAAGGACCCAAAAAGATATGGGTACCTAAGGATAAAACTGTCTTGCAAATATCTTTGACAGCAAGACTGAAACACCAATCGTGGTACCTGGACTCTGGATGCTCTCGAAGGGAAGAAAGCATATGTTCCAAAGCCCGGAGCTTAAATCTGGAGGCTACGTAGGTTTCAGAGGCAATCAGAAGGGAAAGATCATTGGCTCTGGAACTATTGGTAACGGTAATCTTCCATCTATTACTAATATTCTGTTAGTATATGGATTAATACACAACTTGTTATCCATAAGTCAATTAAGTGATAACGGTTATGATATAATCTTTAATCAAAAGTCATGTAAAGCAGTTAGTCAGAAAGATGGACCTATCCTCTTTAATGGAAAGAGAAAGAACAACATTTACAAAATAAAACTCTCTGAACTGAAAAGTCAGAATGTAAAATGCATATTGTCTGTTAACAATGAGCAATAGGTCTAGCACAGAAGATTGGGGCATGTTAGTATGAGAAGAATATCTCAGATTAACAAACTCAATTTGGTTAGAGGACTTCCTAACATAAAGTTCAGCTCAGATGCTATGTGTGAAGCATGTCAAAAAGGCAAGTTTGCAAAACCCTTTTTTAAAGCAAAAAATGTTGTTTCTATCTCTAGACCATTAGAACTTATGCATATATATCTATTTGGACAAGTGAAAACTGCATTCATTAGTGGCAAGAAGTATGGATTAATGATCGTAGATGACTATAGCAGGTGACATGGGTAAAGTTCTTAAGACACAAGGACGAGTCACACTATGTGTTCTTTGCCTTCTATAACCAAGTCCAAAACGAAAAAGATCTTATAATTATTAAAGTCAGAAGTGATCATGGTGGAGAATTTGAAAACAAAAAATTTGAACAATTTTTTAATGAGAATGGCATCTCTCATGATTTCTCTTGTCCTAGAACTCCCCAAAAAATGGAGTTGTAGAACGAAAGAACAAAACTTTACAAGAAATGGTTAGAACCATGATCAACGAGACTAACATTTCTAAGAACTTCTGGGCAGAAGCAATTAACACAGCATGTTACATTCAGAATATAATCTCCATAAGACCTATTCTGGATAAGACTCCATATGGATTGTGGAAGAACATAAGGCCCAACATCTCGTATTTCCATCCATTTGGATGTATTTATTTTATTCTTAACACTAAAGAACATTTGAACAAGTTTAACTTTAAAGCACAAAAGTATATTATGTTAGGATACTTTGAACGCTCAAGAGGCTACAGAGTATACAACACAAAAACATGGATTGTAGAAGAGTCAATAAGTGTTAGATTTGATGCTAAGCTTGGCTCTCAAAAGTCAAAGCAAGATGAATCTTTTGCAGATATAGAAGTCCAAA